CGTACCAGACGATTTTCCGATCGCGCAGGAGGGCATCCTAGGATCCGACTTCCTACGCGACGCGACTAGTATCAATCTTCTGGAGAAACACGTCGAATGGAGAGGAAATCGAATTCCCTTCTTAGAAGGAGAAACTATCATCGTTCCCGCTCGCTCGCAAAGCAATTTTTACCTTAGGGTACTAAACAAAGTAAAAATCGGATATGTCCCGCAGCTTAGGCTCGACGACGACATATACCTCGGTGACGCCGTGGTCACCAATCGAGATGGAAAGGCGTACTTACGCGTAATAAACACTAGCGAGACGGATAAAGAATTACTAGTTCCTCAAATTAATCTTCACGAAATAAGTGAAATCGCGGAAAGCAAACCGCCAGAATTAGGGCCTAGAGCCGAAATTAAATTAATCTCATCAATTAACAAGGGAGAGCGACTAAATCAAGTCAAATCATTGCTTAGGTTAGAACACCTCAACGTGGAGGAAACTCGTCATATAGAAAATCTTTTCGAAAACCATAACGAATCTTTCAACTTCCTACGGAGGAGTTGAGCTGCACCAATGCAATCAAGCATAAGATTAAGCAAACACGCTACCGCTAAACCACTAACCAACGCAGGAGCGATCGACGTAGCCGACGCTTTCGTAAATGATTATATTTGTCTCTATGGAGCCCCTAAGGCACTTTTAACAGACCAAGGTACTCACTATCTAAATAGCTTAATGAAAGCAGTAACAAAAAGATTCAAAATCTCTCATTATAAAACAACCGCGTACAGACCACAAGCGAACGGCTCCATCGAATGTTCACACCATGTCTTATGGGAATACCTAAAACAGACCGTCGATAACAAAAGAGACTGGGACGAACACTTAAAAATGGTATGTTTTTCATATAACACTAGCGTATACGAAGGCTAAACTAATATTCGCCAGAACAGCTCGAACACTCAGCGCACGACCATTACCGGAAGACATTAACAATGAAAGCTACGTTAAATACCTCGAGGAACTGTACGATAAGATCAGGACCTCTCAAGAAAACGCGAGAGAAAACTTAATTAATACGAAACTCAAGTCGAAAGCATATTATGATAAAAAGGTAAATTTGTATGATTTCAAATTAGGAGATAAGGTATTTTTAGTAAAGGAACCCACCCATAAACTAGGAGACCAATACACTGGTCCTTATAAGATAGTAGAGGTACTTAAAAATAATAATGTAAAGATACAAATAACAAACTCAATTAACCGCGTAATACACACGGACAAACTAAAAATTTGCCCCGTCAACGAAGAGAGAGGAGACACAGTGCAACGGCCGTCGGAGGACATCGCCGAAGACTTCTCAGAAGACATACCATGATCGCGTTTCTGACGATCATCATGCTACTCCCCGTCGCTAAGGGCCTCGTGGGATACGACTGCGGAGGGGAAGGCTTCAACATTACCACACTGTCATTACTGGATATAGGAGAATGCAACATGGACAATCTGAAACCAAAAGAAGAAGAAGAAGTGTATGCTCAACTAATGCAGCTGACGGAGTACGATCATATCACAATAATGCAGTGCAAGATCGAAGTTGACCGAACCATATTTCATTGCGGAATGAGCTCCCACATCTCAGCAGTCCATAACGGACGACGTGAATACTTGCAAGAAATAGGCGAACAGGGATGCCTGTTGCGTCGCGGGAGGCTTAGGAAATTTTTTTAACTCCTTAGGGGACTCACCGCGAGTTTGGGGGTGGTTAATTGCGATCTGATGGTATTGATCGGTATAGGCTGCTGTCACCAAGTTAGATAACGCCCTAACTACGCGTCTCGCTTATGGCGATGATTGTAGGTTCAGGGCTATCGTACGGTCTATCTCCCGAATGGATCAAGTACTGCTCAAACGTGGCTAGCGTGCTCGTGCATACGGCGCAAGGGGGTGAGCGGTCTTCTGTTAAAAGAACTTCGTTACAATCGTCGCACACGAGATTCGGTTGATCAAGCCCTATCCGCGTGTAATGCCTGGTTACGCACCAGTAGAAGGAGCGATGATAGAGAGACTTATCGGTGTAGCATGAAGCGCATATTTGCGAAAATCCCATACGGTGCATATAAAATCTCGCTATACAACACACGGCGGCATTTAACCAATCTCTAAAAGGTACCGTCAGAAGGATCTGGCTACTCTGTCCGAGGCAATGTGGGGGCACATGAGTTTACTTATTTCCGTTCGATTCGATTTTATAGGGAACGTCTCCAAGTTTATCGGTCCCGGCAGATGTCTATTGACCGCCGAGGGAATTTCCAAGGCCAAGCAATGCGGTCTTTTCTTATTATTCGTTCACACGCCCGCGTCTTTGACTGCAGTCAGTCGTGCTCGTAGGGAACCCGTCGCTAAGGTTCTATTCTTCCCGACGGAAGGGTCCCCGCGGCGCGGCACGCGTCGCCCAGAGTTGCTGTTCCCGACGGGTAAAATCTCGCACCGTGTTACGTGTCGTTAAGACTATTATTGCGCTTTTCAAGAGAGTAACTGTAACTGTTAGTTATAGGAAGGTCCCTTCAATGAACTTTGTCGAGGTGTTGCTATTGAAATGAAGGTTATAGATTCCCGTGTGACAATTTGCGACTCGATAACAAAGCTGGTTGCCCGCACGATGCATTCGATTGTTTCTACACGTGGGATTCTCCTCGAAGCTACGGATATAACAATAATGTCGCACCTACCTTGCGATGACTTGTTGAGAGTGATGGACCTAGTATGAATTGTGTCCGTAGGTAGAGCGTCCCTCCTGTCCTGCCTTCCCGTCCTTCCTGCTGTCTCGGGTTCGTGGCGTTGAACGGCAAAGGGTACGACGCATAGGAAACGATGTTTTGTTGGTTTAGATCACGCACTCAAGGATACGTTTTGTAATCGCAACGGATTATGATAAAAGGCTTTGTCTCGCAGAATGAAAAGAAAGATATCGCTTTAATCTATTTTTATTCACTCGTAAATAACAAATCAAAACACTAATTCTATTACAATACAACTACATACGACTCGGTTAACACTTGTCTTAACTTCTACGCTTACTATTGAGATTGAGTTTAATTCTATTGAGGCATAAGTCACCTCAGGATTAGTAAATGAGTTTTGTCGCGTCGGGCAAACCACGGACGCGGAATAGTGTGGTGACGAGTTGTGAATTGAAGCTCGTCTGTACTACTACCGGCACTAACTAGTGCTGACTATCTACTACTGACAAGTGCTAAACTACTACTGCTGCTGGATGCATACTCTATGAGTCGCCGCAAGCGGCGTCGGTTCTCCCACTCTTTCTGTTACTCCCACGCGTCAGAAGGACGCGTATACTCAAGAGTAGTGGGGCTTTCGGGGTCTCCCACCACTTTACTCTATTCTTACAGGACTATCTCTTTATTTCTTTCTTACTATAATTTTTATTTGATGATAATAGTAATGTTGCTTAATGTCTAAATATCATGCATTGTTCCTTAAGTATGTCTTCTTATTCTTAGGTTAACAGTTAGAATTACTTATGATTAATGATGGATTATAATTGTAGTGTACTCTTATTTCTATCGTAAAATGTGTGTGATGCGTAAAATAAAATGTGTGGGGCGTAACA